CCCTCGCTCCCTCCCGGGCTCCAGCGGCGGCAGCCGCCGCCTTCAGCTCGCTGCTAATTGCTCCTGCAGCGTCCTTCTCCCAGCGCCGGCCACCAGCATGGCTTTGGAGACTCATACTTTACTAATTTCCCTGTCTTCCAAGCTGAACCAATCCTCTCCAGGGAGGCTTCCCTCTCCCTTCATCACCCACGCCCCACCCCCCCCAAAAAAAAAAAAAAAGTTGTTTTCTAGCGGAGGATTTTATTTTTTTGGCAGCAAAGTGCTTGAGAAAGCCACCTGGAGCTTGTTGCCTGCTAGATCTCCCCCTCCCCCTTCTGGAGGAGGGGTTGGGTGGAGAGGTTGGAAAGAAGTGTGTACTACAGGCAGACCCTGGAAAAGCAGATTATGTACTGGTCAGAGAGAGTAAAAAGGGAAGAGGCATAATTAGCTCCTATTCCTTATTCTTTGCCAGCTTACATGGAGGTCTTTCTCCCTCTTTTAATGAATCACTGATTTCTCGCTTCCGTTGCTGAAATAAAAAGTTCACACTTGAGCCTGCTCTTCCTTTTAAGCCTCGCAAGATTTATTGTGTCTCTTTCCCCACCCTTACCCTCCTTGTCTCGGAAGAAATCAGGGCCCTAAATGACCACTTGCTTATTGCTAACATGAGTCATTTACTCACGCGTCTGACTTCAAAGCAAAAGGGGCTTTATTGGGATTGCAAACGTTTCCCCATAAAATCTGCCTGAATATTTTGCTGTCTTTTTAAGAAAAAAAAAACAAAAAACCAACCAAACAAAACCAAAACCAACAAAAACAAAAAACTATTGCTGTTTCCTTTGCCAGAAAGAAACACATTTTCCATTTTCAAGGCTATTTTAAAGTGATTTTTCAAGCTATTATTTTCCTGGAGGGGCATATGTTGTTGGTTTTTGCTTTGATTCCATCTCTTCTAATGGATTTGTCATTTCACTTACAGAATGTTATGACAGATTCATATTTCTAGCCCATCACTGAACTGTCGACTTTCCCATTAATTAACAGGCATCTTCCATATGATGTACTATCTTTTAACACTGGAGTAGGTGATCAGGGTCTGATAGATTATGGGCAGCATGCAAGACATTATATTTTGGTCCAGTATTTAGTATTGTAAAATAACTGTATTGGAATGCAAGTAGGTGGCACATTTGCTAAGAGAATGGAGTAGTGGAGAAGTGAAGTGGTACAGAAATGCAGTGAGTGGCTTAATACATAAACCCAAAACTTTTTTGAAATAGAGACAGTTTAATAACCAGATCAGTGGAATGCAATGGAAAACTGCCTATGCAATTACAACTGGCATTTGGAGTAAATCTAATTTAAACAACAGAAAATGCAGAGAAGAACAAATAGTTCTAAAATTAGACTGATTCATTAGATTAGGATGTTAAATATACTGCTAACTTTGCAACAGAAATTAGAAATTATTTTCTCCAGTTATGGTGTTTATTCTGGAGAGAGTCAGCTCTTAAATTTATGTGTTCAGGTTCTAGGGGTGACATTTAAACAGCTTTAAAAATGAAACCTTTTAATGTTAGAATCAGTATGTTTTATGATGTTGTTTATGGTGCTTCAGAGAATTTATTCTGCATGTATTTGCACCGAGTGCAAAGCAGTTCAGAAATTTTTTTCTTGAATCTGATTTAGGCTTTCCTTTTGTGGCAACTAATAAAATAAAAGAAATAAAACCAAAATGAAAAGCAAAAGCCTACTTTTCGGTGAATGCCTGGCAGCTTACATGTATGTCTACAAAGCTGATGTTAATGTTTGCTTGCTGTCTAGGTCATGAAAGGTACAACATATTATTTCTAAATTTTATGTTCTTTTGATTTCAATAGCTTAAATAATAAATAATTACTATAATGCCTGAAAATTATACTTTTGAAGAAACCTTTCATTTTTTCCTTTTAACTGTCAAATGCTGGAAAATACAATGAATTGGCATTTTAGGATCTCTGGTGTCAGGAGAAAATAGTAGTTTGGGGGTCAAACAGATATATTTAACCCCTTCTCTTAAAAAAATAGGTACGGCCTTGAATTTATTCAAGAAGAGTTCTGCTTAGACCTGTTTCTAGCTTGCAATTGCCTATATGCTGGTTGTAAGATCTGTAAGATCTTGTGGTTAAGAACAAAAACCACATATCTGGAATTTCATATTAAACCTGCTTCTGGCAGGTGCAATATTCAGTGCAGTACTTAAAACTACTGCAACACATAGAGTCCTTTTCTATCCCATGTGATGACAGGGAGGGCATTTACAAAACAGAGACCAAATGAAAAGCTGACATAGCTTTTTAGATTATATCTCATTCTTTTTTCTACTTTCTGTACAGCCTTTCTTTTATAGCACAGTTGAATCCCTAAATACCCCACTACTTTGTATTGTCAGGTCACCTCTTAGGTTAGCCTGAGAAAGCCTGAGAAAAGTTCCACAGGAAAGATGCACTATTTAACGGAATTCAATCTGTCCCAATAGATTTGAATCACGAACATAAATGTATGAATGTAGATTATATCTCTGTAATGAGGCCTGAATCATTCTCAGTTACTTCAAAGGACTGAAATCCAACCTTCCTTTTTAGCAGCAACAATCAGACCTTAATGGGTTCCTTTATTAATTGTTTCATTGCTAAGCTTGAAAAGCATCTACCTTCAGTACAGGTCCTAGGCTAGAAATGGTACCTGCAGCCTCTAACACAGTGTTTCTGTTTTGCCTCTTACCACTCTAAGATTCTGTGACAAGTTTACTGTGCTACAGTTTTATAAATGCTGAATTACATCGATGTATTCAGAATGAAAAAAGAAAACCCCGTCTAAAAAATGTGCAAAATGTAGAAAATGTATATTA